GATGATGCATTATACGCTTTAAAATCTCAAAGAAACTTGTTGAGTTTCAAAGATATTCGCAGAAATAGATATCATGTGCAAACAAAGTGTCATGATAATATTAAATACTTGTACATTACAAATATAATTTCTTAGAGAAATTACCTTCATATTCTCATTGAAACTTATACAACAGTGAATTCAAAGCTTTCTAGTTATGGTGATTTTGTAATTTGGCATGACAGGTTGGGCCATTCTGATTATATTATGATGCAAAAAATACTAGAAAATTCTTATGGTCATTCTCTAAAGAGCCAGAAGATTCTTCAATCTAATGAATTATCATATGTTACTTGTTCTCAAGCCAAGTTAATTGTGAGGCTATCACCAATGAATATTTGATATGAATCTCCAGCATTTTTAGAACACATATATGGAGAAATTTGTGGGCCTATTCACCCACCTTTTGGATTGTCTCGATACTTTATGATTTTAATTGACATATCCACGAGATGGTCACATGTGTGGTTGTTATCAACTCGCAATCTGGCATTTACTAAATTATTAGCCTAGTTAATTCAATTAAGAGCATTTTCCTGATAATCCTATCAAGACTATTTGTCTTGAAAATGCTGGTAAATTCACGTCTCAATCGTCTACTCACTATTGTATGTCGATTGTGATAAAAATTTAACATCTTGTACTATATGTTCACACAAAAAATGGTATGGTAGAATCCTTTATCAAACGTATTCAATTAATTGCAAGGCCATTACTTATGAGAACAAAGTTGCCAATATCAGTTTAGGGTCATGTTGTATTGCATGTGGCTGCATTGATTCACATACACCAACAAATTACCAAGAATGTTCTCCTCAACAACTAGTTTTTGGTTAGGAACCAAATATTTTACATCTTAGAATTTTTGGATGTGCGGTTAATGTTCCAATTGCTCTACCATAACGCACAAAGATGGGACCTCAAAAGATGTTGGGAGTATATGTTGAGTATGAGTCTCCATCTATTACAAAATACCTTGCGCCTAGAATTGGAAATTTATTAAGTGCTCATTTCGCTGATTGTCATTTTGATGAGTTAGTCATCCCGACATTAGGAGGGAGAAATTAAACAGCTGGATAAGAAAATAAGTTGGAACGAATCAAGATTATCTCATCTTGATCCTTGCACAGGCCAATGTGAACTTGAAGTTAAAAAAAAAAAATTCATTTACAATGTTTAGCAAATCAATTGCCAGATACTTTTACTAACCTAAAATGTCTTTCTAATTCGGATGTACCGGGTACTAATGCTCCAATAACAAATTGATGTCCTTAAAGGACCTTGTACCATTAACAATGACTTAAAGGCAGATCCAAAACGTTGTAGACCAGTTGGTTCCAAAGATAAAAATTTGCGTAAACAAAAAGGAGTAAATAATGAACATGACAGTCGAGGTAACTAAGATTCTCAAAGAATTCTCAAGAACAAAAAATCTTGAAGAGTCAAATGACATAATAGATAACAAACTTTCAGAAGAAGTTCATGTACCTTAAAATATTGATAATGATGAAATCTCAATTAATTATGTCACTACTGGAGAAAAATGGAACCGACGTTAATAGAATTGATGATAAATTTGCATATGCTGCTGCAATTAAGATTATGAATGAAAATGAGGACCATGAACCAAGGTCTGTGGATGAATGCAAATGTGAAAATGAGTGGCCAAAATGGAAATATGAATTCAATCTGAACTAGATTCACTGGCAAAAGACAATGTTTTTGGACCAGAAATACGCATACCCGAAGATGTGCAGCCCGTAGGTTGTAAATAGGTATTTATGCGAAAAAAGAAATGAAAACAATAAAATTGTGCAATACAAGGCACGACTTGTCACGCAAGATTTTTTCCAAAGACCGGATATTGACTATGAGGAGACATATTCTCCATTAGTGGCTACAACAATTTTTAAATATTTACTGAATCTAGCAGCTATTGAACAACTAAAATGTGTTTATGGATGTTGTGACAGCTCACAACTTATTTATACAGCTCACTAGATGATGATATTTAAATAAAAATCCAAGAAGGATTTCAATTACCTAAGGGACAAAATCCTAGTTCTCAAGAACTTTATTCAATTAAATGGTACAAATCTTTGTATGGATTGAAACAAACTGGACAAATCTGGTATAATGTTCTTAGCGAATATTTGATAAAGGAAGGTTATAAGAATTGTTCACAATTATTGCAGTTTATGCTGATGACTTAGATATTCTTGGGATCCCTGAAGAGGTCCAAAAAGCTACAAATTGTTTGAAACAAGAATTTGAAATGAAAGCTCTCGAAAAACAAAAATTGAACACCTAGAAAGTGGTATTTTTCTACAAGAATCCATGTATACCAAAAAAAAAAGTGCTTAAACGCTATGGACAAATCACACGATTTGAGCACATCTATGGTGGTAAGATCCCTTGATAAGGATAAAGACCTTTTCCGACCTCGTAGGGAAAATAAAGAACTACTTGGTCCAGAAATACCATATATCTTAGTGCTATTGGAGCATTGACGTATCTTGTTAATCATACACGGCCTGATATATCATTTGCTATTAATTCGCTTGTACAATATAGTTTTGCACCTAAGCGAAAGTACTGGAATAGTATGAAACAAATATTTCGCTATGAAGGTATGATTTATATGGACCTTTATTATTCAAAGACATCCAAGTTAGATCTGATCTGTTATGTGAATGCTAGATATTTATCTAATCCTCATAATAGTCGGTGGTAAACAGGATATTATTTCATGTCGTTCTATGAAACAAACACTAACTACAACTTCTTCCAACCATGCTTAGATTTTAGCAATTCATGAAGCAAGTGGGGAATGTGTCTGGTTAAGATCGATTGTTCATCACATTCGAGAATCATGTGGCTTATATTTGGACAAGAATACACCTACTATCTTGTTTGAAAACAATACTGCATGCATTAATCAGTTAAAGGAAGGATATATCAAAGATGATAGAACAAAGCATATATCTCCAAAATTCTTCTATACTCTCGATCTTCAAAACAATGGTGAAATCATTGTTCAATAAATTCGCTCAAGTGACAATCTGGCAGACTTACTCACTAAATCATTACTGACTTCAACCTTTGAGAAACTAGTCCATAATTAAGATTGGAATGTGATGACTCAAAAATGTCAAGTGATACGCTCAACAGGGAGAGTAATTACACACTGCACTCTTTTTTCGTTGATCAAGGTTTTTATCCCATTAGATTTTTCCTAGCAAGGTTTTTAACGAGGCAATGTCACATTCAGATAATGTATTCTTTTTCTTTGACTCGGATTTTTTCCCAATGGGTTTTTTTCCTATTAAAGGTTTAACGGAGATATTGTTCCGTAAAAAGACATTCAAGGGGTTATGAAGTACATTTATTTTTGGATGTCTTTTACATCTTTACTACTCTATGCATCTAGTTACATTAAACTACATTACTACTCTTATCTTATCTATGAGGGAAGTGTTATAAAGTACATTTATTTTTGGATGTCTTTTACGTCTTTACTACTCTATGTATCTAGTTACATTAAACTAGATTACTACTTTTATCTTATCTATGTAAAGTTATGGAATATTAAATTAAATGTAACTTGTTATGGTTTTGAGAAACCTACAAATAGAGGCTAAATTAATGGAATGAAAATAGATCGAACAATCTCACGAAAATTCCTTTCTTCTCCATTTTGTCTTACTTTACCATTTCTTTTATAATACAAATGATTATTACATAAATTTCTTTACAACCGCATAATGTATTCATTTTCTCCCCAATACGAGCACCAAAATTACAATTACGTGAAAATGTAATTTCCAATTCAAATTTGTCTAGTTTTAGTTGTTCCATTATGCCAAAAAAAATTACCTGATTTTACTCGGTTTTTGCTGTGTTTGGCACAGGATTTATCTTAATGAATAAGTTTATATTTTTATAAAACATTATTTTTGTTTGCATTTGAATCAAAGCCGTAAAATAGGTTCAGAAAAAACGCTCATGCAAGATGTTTGCCTCAGTAATATGTTGTTATATGACGGCATTAGGGTTTTAGTGACATTTTAGAACTCATTAGTTTACGCTAATGTCTTCTGAGAATTACCTCAGAAAAAATAAGGAATTTTTTCCTTAAATATATATGAAAAAAAAACCTGGACAAAAATAAAGCTTTTTAAAATCTTGTGGACAAATTTATATGCCCCGGATTTAGGAAATCCGAATGGGGGCAAAACTTGGATTTCGGAAATCTGACCCCTAATCAACTCGGATTATAAAATCCGACTTTGTGTTACGTAAATCTGATATTAAGTTAATGACAAAAATTAGTGTAATTAATCTAAATCCAGATTTTATAAATCCGTTTCTATGAATAAAATATTAATTTCCAGATAGAGAAAAAAAAATGTGTTGAAAAATTAAATTTGGGCAGAACTCGGATTACTGAAATCCGAATCTGCTCTGTTTTCTGAAAAATGGTGACTCTCAGTTGGCCACGGACTCGGATTTCCGAAATCCGAATCCTTTACAAAAAGTCTGGGTTCGAATTTCGCAAATCCGAGTCTTTGTCAGAACTAAAAAAAATATTGGACTGATTTTCACCAGTCCTAAACCTGTTTACAGCACCAACAACAATGAAACATTGGAAAACAGGAATTTAATAACAACAAAACAATAAACGGCATTCGATTAACAACAAAACAAATCAAGTTTCATAAAAAGTTCAATACAAAAACTACTATAAATGTCCAAAATAATGAAATGTCTCATTTTTTCCCTTTTCCTTTATTGTGCGCATCCGGAGTGTATTTGTTTGGGCCCTGTCGGATCCTGTCTCCCCTCTTAAGATACGTGAGTATTGAACTTTGTTGTGGTTGCGACTGTCCACCAAACTGAGCCTCGATTTGGGGTTGGGATTGGGGCTCCCCCATGGTGATAAATTTGACTCCCGGTTGTGGTTACGACTGTCCACCAAACTGAGTCTCAGGTCCACCAAGGTCAAACTGAGTCTCGGGTCCACCAGCTTCTTCAAAATGAGTCTCGACCTGGATGTGCGAGCCTCGAGAGGAATGTGCTTGATCCTCATTTTGTTGACCCTCAGTTTGTTGTTGCGATGTCCGAGGGGGGATTGTGACCTTTCTCTTTCTTCCTCCTCCAATCTTATCTCTCGGACACGGTTTCGCTTTTTTACCCGGCGGAGGTTGTGAGGGCAAAAATGGATCTTCATCAACCAGGATTTGGGTATCATCCTCCTCCATCTCATCATTTGCGCCCAAGGTTAAAGCAGCATGTGTTTGATTGATGATATCGTCCAAATGCTTGTCAAGTTCTTCGTCTAGGAGATTATCATCTTCTCGTTTTTCTCTAAACCTCTCGGTACTCACGCGAATGTTGTTCAATACTTCACCCTGAAAAGAAATTGGGACGTTAATTAAGAGAGTAAAGTTCTAAAAAAATAAAAAATGAAAAAAAAATGAAAACATAAGAAATAATAAAAGAAATCTAGAATTAACTCACATATAATTTCACGCGGCTCGAAGAAGTCTCGTATCCTTGAGGTTCATAATTACCGGATTGGATATCGATCGACAGTTGTTCACCATGAACCATTCATAGTACCCCTCATATACGGAACCAGGATCTCCTTCCTCCAAATCTCGTAGCACGAACTCTTCTCTCCTATTCCAATGACGGCGTACTGCGGAATGGTGATCCTCCCAATTATTTCTAGGATACCCAGACATACTGTGGGCGTGATCGAGAAGGAATGCTGTGTTATCTTTAATCATGGGGCGCTTGGGAACATCCTGTATGTATCCAAATTGTCTTACGACTCTACCCGACTCGTGGGGTTCCCTAATAGCCCAACAGAACTTCCAACACCTAGTCGTCCAAATGGCTTGGCCTTGTGTACAGAAATCAGGGAGTCTATGGAGGACATGTGCATATGGTTGCCACCGAAACTGCACGAAAAAAATTTCATTAGATGGTACAACCGAAACCAAAAGAAAGGGGTAATTGATCTCAAAGTAAATATAAATATCAAATTACAAGTACTTACATCTTCAACACGCAGACTTGTTAATTGATCTCTAAAAGGTGGAGTGCTGCTCCTTGGGGCGTCGCCGTACGTGTACCTATATTTACACCTTAATAAACAAAGGGGTACATTGAATTAGTGAAATAAATGAATAAGAAACAAATAGAATTAAACGTTGAGTTATTTTGAACTGAAAATACGTACCGCTGAGCTAATGGAGCGGTCACATCAATCAAATAATCTACTCCTTTTCTTTGGGGCGCGATCTTCTCGATCCGCTCATACGCCCATACCTAGTAAATTACAATAATAATGTAAAAACTTCAAATTATAACGTCGAAAGCGCAAAATAATTAAAACACAAAATGAAAACTAATACGTACCTGTAGCAAATATAGACACCCAGTGGTGTCGTGCATGGTATACTGTGATGCCTCGCATAGTCCAGAGTACAACCCAGCCAGCAGTGCCGATCCCCAACTGTACCGACTACACTGATCCAAATCCTCAACCTGGGCCAAGAACTGTAGATTGACAGTGTTCTGCGTCTTGTTCGGAAACATGAAACTGCTAATAAAATGCAGTATAAGTGTCCTGGCCCTTTGCTCGAATCGATGGACAGTGGAATTTTCAGGTAGTGCACGGCCCATCTCATCTTCGAAAATACCAACATTGACACATTGGCCATTTACAGTCGCCGTCCGGAATCCCAAATAAGCCTCACATCGATCCCTCCATTCATCTGCAGTCCGGCCAACTGTCATCCCGTACACCAGGTCACCATCCACCCGAATACCAAACCGGACCTCGACGTCCAGTAGCGTCACCGTCGCCTCTCCGAAATTAAAATGAAAAGTGTGGGTTTCTGGCCTCCACCGTTCCACCAACGCGGTAATGAGGCCTAGATCAACTCTTTTGTACCCTACCTTCATGATCCCCTCAAAACCGGCTCTCCTAATGACTTCCTTAACCTCCGGTGCCGTATTTTTATATAACGCCCAAAAATCGCTGTCATACCTACGGCCCTTGAGGCGGAATGTTTTAATGTCCGGTATCTTGTTCTCATAGACAGCTTGGGACCTATGCTTTGTTTGACGATATAGCATTTTATCTTGTATAGGTCCCGGGTGAAGATGTTTAGGTTGATAGTCATATTGGGAGCCCGATGCCGGCGTCGCCATTTCAATCCTACACAAGGTAACCAATACCACTTCAATCAAAATAATGATGATGCGCAAACCAAATACCATATACAATCGGCCCAAAAAAACAATTCAACCAAACCATATACATTCGGCCAAATAACAAAACTACCAAACGATGTACACTCGGCCAAAAAAAACAATTCAACCAAACCATAAACATTCGGCCAAATAAACAAGACTACCAACCCATATACATTCGGCCAAATAACAAAACTACCAAACGATGTACACTCGGCCAAATACTAAATCAACTATAATCATTCACAATTTACACAACTATAATCCAACACAAACACTATATCAACACCACATCTATAAGCAATTCACAATACACACAACTTAAATAGGCCGAGTGTAGATCAATAGCCCGATCCCCTTTTCCAGATCAATAGGCCGATCCCCTTTTCTCCGACAAACTTGGAGTGCGTGCGTACAAGGCATCCGGTACTCTTGCCACTTCCTGCACGAACATCTATGTTCATCGTAGTTCACCGTATGCAGAGACCCACCCCTGCCACTTAGGCGTGTAGCAGTAACAACACGCCACATAGCATCATCACCATAGAAAGGGGTGGCTTCAAAACTGGCTGCTTTATCATTCATTTTCTCGCATTTTTTCCATAACTCAGGAGGGATCGGTGTCATGCAATTTCTCGTAGACAATTGTTCTTCTCTATAGAATTTAACAGTTTTACGAAAGGTTGCATCGATCAAGGCTCTAATTGGTAACAAATGAAAGGCTCATCAATCAAACTACTAGAAGTAGTATGAAAATAAGAAGTTTTGTTTTAAAACAATTCTATCAAGAAGCATACTTGAAAAAGAACGGTTTCTGCAAGATCAAAAGATCCAAGATAAGATGAAAACCCTCTTGGTTAAATCCTACTTGACACGAAAAATGGACACTCCATTTAACAAAAATTCCTCACAGGAAAAACTCTCAAAAGAGACAACAAAAATGACCACTCAAGGATGCTTTTGATTTTTGGCCATGCCCCCTATTTATAGGCTTAGGAAATTCGGCCAGCACCAAAAAAGAAGATCAGTTAGGACTCTCTAATCTTATCTCACAAGGAGTAGAAGTAGAAGAGTATTTGATCTCTTTGACTCTATCTAAATCTAAGAAACCTTATCTAAGTGACTTATCCTCAAGTAGGATAATATCTAGAAGGAATCTAAGACTCCTAATCAAAACACTCTAGCTTTATTCAGCCACATCACTTATCTAACTAGATAAAACTCGAAAATTGACTCCTAGACTTAGATTAACTCTAATCTCGAAATTCAGCTCCAAATTATTGAAATAAATTGTCTTGAACGCCCTTCCAAAAGTGGAATATTGGTCTTGGGCCCCTTAAGTTGTAAAAAACTCCAATTTACTCCAAAACTTGTAGAATTTCCTTTATTGACTCGAAAAGATTAGAAAAACACTTGAAACAATTAAGATAGTTTGCAACCTATCCAATTGTGTAGCAATGGACTCAATCTTGAACACTTTGATCAAATAGGCCGTCCATTCAAGAACCTAAATGACTCTTCTCAGTAGCTTGATCAATGATCTTCGTGGAGCACCTAGAGTCAAACTCTCTTGATACTCTTGAGCACTTATTTCCATGAGGTGATCATCTCCTTTGGTTTGAACCCCAAAGTTAATGACATTCTCATCATCTTGATCATAGCTCTCTTGAACCAACTCCCTATCACATAGGTAGTCAAGATCCATCCTTTCTTCCTTGATTGGCCTGCAAAGTAAACTTGGCATTCCAAAACTAGAATGAAGGACTAGCTCATTCCCCTCACTAGGAGAATCACCATGGAAGGCTACAGGATTCTGATCACTAAATCGGATCTTTCCCTTCCTGATTGATGTCCATTGCTGGTGCTGCTCTTGTGGCTTTTATAGAGGTTGGAGAAGGCATGCTTGCTTAGTGAGGTTGATCTCCTCTTTGTCCATTGGATTAAGACCAAGTTGAGGATACCACACCTTCCTCACCTTCTCCCATGTCTTAGATCTGAATTTGCAGCCTTCAACCTCTTCTTTTGCAGTCCCAATCATCAGATTTTCAGCCCACAATCACTTAACCCATGCCTTCTTCCTTAGCCTTGAAGGCTTTCCTTCATGGGTCTTTTTTCCTTAGTCTCTAAGCCTCCAAAGGCTGCCCTGTTTCCATGGACAAAGACTTCTCCCACTTGTTTCTTCTTCTCCATGGAATTGCAGCATTAGTCCAATTGGGCACTTCTAATTATGCCCTAAACTTTGCCAAGTTGCACCAATTTACCCACCTTTTCGTTCCTTTTATAATTCAGCCCCTAGATTACCATAAGTCACCAAATTAGCTTATAAATATAAAATCCTAATCTAATTGACCTATAATTAAAGCATAAAGTGGTAGAATGAGTGCCCAAAAATATAGTACGATTTGCACTCATCACTTCTAAAGCTCAGAGGACATGGAAGCCAGCATGATGCATTGAACTTCATTTGCATCATCAGAGTGCTTCTTATAAGCATCTCTTTCAGCTCTAGGAGCATCATTTGGTGGAGAATCAGCAACATATCCATCCAAAACATAAGTCTTTTTCTCATGCTTAAGGATGATCCTCAAATTACGATACCAATCTAGGAAGTTAACCCCAGTCAGCTTCTCCTCCTCAAGGAGTGATCGCAATGAGATAGTAGTGTTTGTTGCCATGATGATCTACATTAGAAACATGCAAAATATGTATTATGTTAGAATCATTCAATTAGGACTTTAATCAAATGAAAAGCTCCCACTAATTTATTTGAAATTAATAACCGTCAAAACAATTTCAGAATTTCTACAATAAAAACATTAGTAGGCCAAGACCCATATTTCACTCAATCTTGAGTCAACTTTAGCTGACCACCCAAGGCCAAGCTATTTAGGTAGGTAACAATTACCGATTGAATCATATGCAACTCTTGGATCGTCGGATTGTGCGGCTCATCTTATGAACCTTCCAACTTTTAGCGCCTCTAAGCCCCAATCCAATTGGGATGGCTTAGTTAAGCCACACCCAATAACTTGTCACTTGGGTATTACATTTACCCCATCGCGCCTTGCCAAAATGGATACACGTATTTTGCTTTGGCAAACATACATACGATCAATTCTGGCCTTGACAAAGACAATTCATTGAAAGTCTTTTGACTTAATGTATTTCAAAACCAAGGGTTTCATATGACATTCATATCTAAAACATGTATGCATACACTCAAAAAATAAAAACTCATGATCATAAAGTAAAATATCATAATCACATATTATAACACATACCAATCATGTGACTTGGAGGACAATCACCCTACGCTGATTAGACCGGCGGTCCCTTATAAGCATCCACAATTAGGACAATTCTGAAACTGGTGTTTTCATAATTCGCTGCGTGTTTATTTGCATAACACTTATGCTCACCCTCAGCCGTACCAAATATATCATATAAAATTAGATCCGAAAGTGCCAAATAAATCATATTTATTTGGACACTTAACAGTCATGCAATCATACGAAATATGATGATGGTTTATTTGTTACATAAAAGCATCACAATGAACTCTAAATTTAGTAAGAAATTGGGGGTATTTCCTATTATTAGTGCATTCTACTTAACTGGTTTTCGTGTTTTTATTAGGTTCGGGGCTTGATTGAACAATTGCTGAAAAATTGAGGCCAAAGGAACAAATTCTGGGCTACTCATGCAATTTTGGCTGAGCTGGACGAAAAAGCACCCCCCAAGACAAGAAGCATTTCGCCATTAATGAGTATGTCTCTCATTTGAACTCCAAGAGGCATGCTTGTCTCCCAGCCGAAATTCCAGCCACCCCTGCTGATCAATGAGGATGATGCTGCCACTACTGGAAGAAGAGAAGAAGACCAGTCAATTTTGGATTCCAGGCACAAGGCATAAGGAGAATTAAACAATTCACAAGCATGGGAGGCTCCCTTGATAAAAGAACCGGCTGCAAGGCTCTATAAAAGGGGAACTTCACTCTCAGAAGAAATCATCTATCTTTGGTTACCTTTTCAGTTGCCAAAATACACAGAAAACTCCAGGAAGAAGGCAAGAAGGAAGAAGGAGCAACAACAACTCAGTAAGGAAGCCAAGTTGAAGAGTAGCCATCCCAGTTTCTGCTTCAGTTCCATGAGTGAACCCCTTCACTCTCAGGAGTGGCTCAGAACTGACAAGCTTTTTTCTCGTCTCTTGACTGTTAGCTTGAACTCGTTTATTATGCATACTTCTATGATGTCTTTTGATGTAGTAGATGTAGCATTAATTTGTATTAGTAGCTAAGCAGCTTCCAGGGGTTATTCTCCTCAACCTATGTTGTAGTTATTTAATGCACTGGTTCTGTTCTTTGTTTTGAAGTTGAAAGTTTTTCGTGGTTTAACAATGTTAGAGTTAATTTAAGTTATGATATAATTTGTTTTTAATGTGTTTAGGATAGGTTTGATCAGGGGGATGGAGTCGATTATAGTCCGGCTTTTGCTACAGACGAGACTTTTGCGACGAACAAGGAAGCTGTTACATATGCGAAGGGTATTGCGAACATCTACAATATGGAGTTAAGTGTATCCTCGCACAAGGATAATAGTAGTATACTCCTTTGTCATAAAGGAGGGTGGTACCAAGGTCAACAGGTGGATGAAAACGTTTGTGCCCAAGCCAATACAAAGACACAGATGACCGGATGCCAGTTTCGTGTTACTATTTACAAGATATATGATAGGTGGGCGATCCAAGTCCGTTGGGAATGCACAACCATTCATTGAAAGATCAACCTCGAGTCAGGAGGCCATTGAGTGCAAAAGTAAAGAGCTTATTAAGGAGTACTCCAAAGCTGGGACTAAGGCAGTCCACATTTTACGGGCGATATGGACACAATTTCCTGATGAAAAGGTTACCTCCAAACAAGTCTACCACTACAGAAATTTTTTGTGTAAGGCGGGGTTTCCAATTCTAGATGACCTGACTGCCATGGACGTCGTGGGAAAGGTGTTAGAGGTTGCAAAACAACACAAATACATCATCTTCACGGAGTGCGATGAAGAGACACAGAGGTTATCCCACGTGTTTTTCGCACATCCAGATTCTTTGTTGTTGTTGCGGACGTATCCTTGGGTTGTTTGTGTAGATTCCACATACAACACAAACAAATATAAACTGCCTCTTGTGGAGTTTGTTGGAATGACCCCTTGCAATCAGACATTCCTTATAGCATATGCTATTCTGAGTGATGAGACGGGGGACAGCTACCATTGGGCGTTGTGGCAACTCCGTAACTTGTATGGCGATGATCTGCATTCGAGTGTCATCGTGACTGATCGGGAGCCTGGACTGATGAGGCCTCTTGATGATGTATTTCCATCATCACATCACTTGTTGTGTACGTGGCATGTTTACAGGGATGTTGAAAGAAATGTGAAAAGAATTTTGAACGGAAATACCCGTGTAGCAAAAAGTTTCGCGTATAATGCCTTCAAAGCAGTGATCGAAGCGGCAAATCGGGAAGAATACGAACAAAAAGTACAGTTTCTGGAGCATAATTGGTCTCAATTTCAGCCCGTTCTAGAGTATGTTAGGAAGACATGGTTAGTGGTGGCGGACAAGTTTGTACATGCATGGACCAACACTTATTTGCATCTTGGCAACACCACTACTTGTTGAGTGGTGAGCGCACACAAGTTGTTAAAGGAATGGCTCGGCACTGCAAATGCTTCTTTTGAAACGGTGTGGCACAGGGTTCACATGTTACTGGAGACACAGCTTACGCAAATAAGGTACTGGATTTTGATCCCTTTTTAGTTAATTTGTGTGTTTAGGTTGTTTAATTACTTTCTTAGAATTCCTCCACAGGAAGAAATTGCAAGAATCAAGGCAGAAAATAGGGAGGCAACACAACAAGTACCCTTTCTACCAATTAAGATGCAATGTTTCACACTACTACTTGGATCTATTGAAAAATGAGTTGGAAAGGATGCAACAACTCGGAGATGATGTGTATTGGGAATGCAATCATTACCTGAAGCAAACTCATTCCCTCCCTTGTGCATGTATACTTAAGCGTATAATGGAGGCAAACGAGATTTTGACTCCAAAATACTTGCACCAATTTTGGAGCACACTTGACATCGGTGAGGTTACAGAGAAGGATGGTTCGGATGATGTTCGCCCTCACAGATTGTTGTTCAGACAGTTAGTGGAAGAATTGGACGCTGCTGAGAAGCCAATACAGCGCGAGACACCGGATTTATGTACAACAAACTTAACTCGGGCCAAGCCGGATTAAATGAACCGCGGGTTGGAAAGAGAGGCAAGGGCAGGCCGAAGAAAAGGGGCATCTAAAAAAAAAAAGCAAGACAAACCAAATGTGTTGGCATACAGGGACGGCAGTCAGGGTGGCACCAATACCAGCAGTTCCAGTAAAGCAGGTATGAGCCAAGGTACCAGTAGAGACCATACGTCGGGAGCTGAACATCAGAGCACAGGTTTGATATTGCTTTATCTTTTTAAATGTGTGAAATATTATTTTTGCAGTTTGAGACAAGCAATTTTGTTACTGACCCATGCGAGAGCAGGTACATGGACTGGGCAAGGTGGGACGAACACCAGCAGTTCCAGTAGATGCTACACGTCGGGTTCTGAACCCCATGTCGGAGGTACGATTATAATTTATATTGTTCTTAAATACTGATATGTAATTCAAAAATAATGATATTATTTTACGTGGTTAAAGATGTG